GGGGAGGTTCCAGGACTCTGCCCTTGGCATTGGGGGTTGGGGGGCGGGGGGGCTTCCTCCCTTCCCTTCAGCCCCCTTCCCCAGGGGCTGTGCTTCCATGCTCCTGGCCTCCCACTCTCCGCTCAGGACATGTTATAACTTAGGCTAAACTGTGAAACTTCCGGTGGGGATGGCCTGGCCAAGCTCTCCAGGTGGGCGGTCCTTTCCCCAGCCCTGTCCATCAATTTCAGGGGGAGCCGGGCCCTTCATGGCTGTGAGTGGCTGCCCGGGGCAGGGCCTGGGGCCGGCAGCCACCCAGCTCCGGGCCCTGCATCTCTTCTCAATGCACTTTAATAATGTAACATATTACTAATAAACGAGCTATTTATTTACCCGTGTCTGCTCTTGGCCTGCAAAGCCGTCCTGGTCGGGGGCTGGGGGTCCTGTCTGGGCTCAGCCCCTCCTGCCTGTGTGAGCGGCACCTGGGGAGAGGCAGGAACAGGATCAGAACCCACAGCCCCCGTTCCCCTGGAGTCCCGTGGCTCCTGCACCTCTTCTGCCTGTCCCGACCCCAGCTTCCATCTCCCACCACTTTCCTGGGACGCCTGGTCTAGGCCATGCTAGGAACAGCCTCAGGCCTCCTTGCCTTCACGGGGTGGTTCTAGGGGAAAAAGCTGGTCAAATAGAGCCCCATGGGACACTGGTGACAGAAGTGTGTGTGTGTGGGAGACTGGTGTGTGCATCGGGACGGAATGGGGATTTGCTCCAGGCCAGGCTGCCTGGCAGGGGAGGGTCTGGGTGACGGCGGTGTGCAGAGGGGACAGGCGTATGGGGGAGTGTGACACGTGGGTGGGGAGGCAGGTGGGGAGATGGGCAGGCTGAAGGGATGGACAGGCGTGAGGAGGGGACAGGTGGGAAGGACAGGTGTATGGAGGGGACGGGGCTGGATAGTAAGGATCGGTCAGCAGGGTTAGGAGGGATGAGGTGGCATTTGTGTTTTTGAAACTCAGAGCTCCTACAAGATAAAGCAAATAGGTTCTCGATCACAAAAGTTTGTCAAGAAGGGGCCCCTGAGTTTGCGGCGGGAGGTGGGAGGGTGTTAGGAGGTAGGCGAAGGTCAGAACCAGGAGCTCTGAGATGGAGGGGAGGGACAGTGAGGGCATGGGGAAAGTCCAGATGTCCCTCAAAGGTCTTCACTCCTATCTCCTCTCCCCTCCCTCTTACTGCCTTCTCTTTGGCCCCTGCCCCTGGTGGCAGGGACCTAGGCCTTTGGGGTTTGGTGGGAGTTTTTCCTGAGCAGTGACTGCAAAAAGGGTACATGGAGGAGGGGACAGTTCCCCGCTGAGTCTGATCCTGGCTTCTGATCTGCTCTGGCCAATCCCACAGGACTGGAATTGCCTCCACTCATGACACCCTCCTTCTGTCTTCTCTGGGCGCTCATGGCCAGCCTGGCACTGAGGGTCCTCTCTGGTTAGTTCCTCTCCCCACATCCAGCCTTCCCAAGGTGACCAGGGGCCTTTGGGAGTTTGGGGGGTCCCAGAGGTGGGGGGCTGCTGGCACTTTTGTGGTCCTGGACAAACGCCTTCCTAAACCTTGTTTCTCTTGTGTAGAGGTGGGGCTGAGCCGGCTCTTGGTGGGCCCTTTCTCGAGCATCCTGTCTGTTCTAGTGCACAGCTGAGCATCGGCCTCCGCTCAAGGGCATCACGGGGACCCCTCAGCAAGCCCCTTGGCCAGTGGCAAAGCAAAGGGCAAGAGTCAGTTCCAGCCCCCAGTGTGCTGAGTGAGGGGAGCAGGCCCAAGCCCTGGTCCCTCGTAGAGCACCGGGTGACCCCAGTGAAGTTCTCATCCTCTGTGGACCTCAGCAGACTCCCTCTTCCCTTCAGGGGTGCTTGTGGTACTCTGATGGGCCCATGGCAGGTGTTTTGAGTGACAGAACCCAGTCCTTTGTCTCTGTGGAGGCACCGGGAGAGCCCGGGCTGGGAGGGAAGCCGTGTTCACTGAGGCATGAAATGAGCCCGTGTAAATCTCATGTAAATAAGCCGGTGGGTAGGAGGCCAGCAGGCACAAGGCACCTGCCCTGGTTGCCCCAATGGGCAGGCAGCACAGCAGGCTTCCAGCTGGCAGTGTGTGGGCAGGACCGCTAGGCTGGGTGGTTGGCAGGAGGATGCACCACAGGGATGTCCACGGATACACATGGTGCCAACACTGGCCTCTCCAGGGCCAGGCCGGGGACAGGAGCCAGGCCCATCCTTCCACCCTCTGTCTCAAGCATCCTCTGGGGAGAAGGAACAGGGACACAACTCAGCTCTCCTGGGGAAGCCAGCAGGGAACTGGAGACCCTTGTATGCCTCCCTCCTGCTTTATACATTGAAAGGACCACGAAGGTCCGTCCCTGTCCCCACATCCTGCCATCCTCTCCCCTGGGGGAAGCCACCACCTTCCTGTCTCTGTGTAATAGGTCCTCATGCCTGCAGACCAGCCCATCCTGACCCGGCATTCATGGCCCTGCAAGTTCCATCTCTCTCTCTTCCACCCCACATCTACCTTTGCTGAATCCTCTCTACTCCTTTGCTCCTGGGATTCCCTCTCCTGGAATGCCAGGGGCAGGATGTTCCCAAGTAGAGGTTCCAGAACGACCTGGAGTTCTCCAGAAGAGTCCTGTGTCCCCACCCCAAAGGCCTCAGCCTGCTCACCCTTGGGCCGCGGGAGAGAGGAAATCTTGGGGGGAGGGTGCTCCTGGAATTGGGCTCTGGGGCCCCCATGGGAGAAGGCATAACTCCTGCCCTCGGGACCCCTGCAGCCTGGTAGGAAGGAGAGGTGGGGCTGGATGGGGGCCATACGTGTGGTGAGCTCAGGGGGCACCCTGCCCATTTTGGGGGCGTGGCCAGGGAGGGCTTTGACTGGGACCTTAGAGGATACATAGATGCCCAGGAGGAGAGCGTCTGGATGGAGAGGGAACAGCGTTTGAAAAGGCCTAGGGGTGGGAGAGGCCTTGCGTGTGAGAGTCTGGCTGGATGAAGGAAGCTTCGTGAAGGCAGAAATCCTTGTCTGTTTTGTTCACAGCTGTATCTCCAGCACCTAGAGCAGTGCCTGGCACACAGTGGGTGCTCAATATCTTCTTCTTCTTCTTCTTCTTTTTTTTTTTTTAAGTTGTAGTCTTACTCTGTTGCCCAGGCTGGAGTGCAGTGGCATGCTCATGGTCACCCCAGTGTCAACCTACTGGGTTCCAGAGATCCTTCTGCCTCCCCTTCCAAGTAGCTGGAACTACAGGCGCATATTACCCGCCCTGGTTAATTTTTGATTTATTGTAGAGACATGGTCTCGCCAAGTTGCCTGGGCCGGTCTCGAAGTTGCGGGCTCAGGCAATCCACTTGCCTCGGCCTCCCAACGTGCTAGGATTACAGGCTGAGCCACCAAGCCCAGCCTCAATACCTTCGTGCTGAATGAATGGATGAGCTGAGAGCAGGGCATCTGGAGGTAAGGTTGGATGTGTCCATCAGTGCCAGATCTTGGGAGCTAAGGCACAGATCTTTATCCTGCAGGGTCTAGGAAACCATTGAAAGATTTCTTTTTCTTTTTAAAGAGACAAAGTCTTGCTCTATTGTCTAGGCTGGAGTGCAGTGCACAATCATGGCTCATTGCAGCCTCAACTTCCTGGGCTTAGGTGATCCTTCTACCTCAGCCTCCTGAGTAGCTGGGACTACAGACAGACATGGGCCATCTTGTTTGGCTAATTTTTAAATTTTTTTGGGAATGACAGGGTCTCACTGAGTTGTCCCGGCTGGTCTTGAACTCCTGGCCTCAAGCGATCCTCCCACCTTGACCTCCCAAAGTGTTGGGATTACAGGTGTGAGCCACTGTAGCTGCCCTGCTGAAGGACTTTGAGCAGAAGAAAGATAGCTATGATGGTAACGACAGTGAGGATGACGGGGGCCTGAGATCCAGTTTTTCTCACACCCCATCCCTCGTCTGCTTCATACCAAGCACCTCCCACTCCCTCATTCCCGGGTGTTTCCAGCTCTTTCCATGGCCCCGTTTTAGCCTCTCATCATTTGGAAAAGAAAGTGGAGCGGTCTGGGCTAGGGAGTCAGTCAGGAGGTCGGCAGGCGTGGGACGGCGGAATGGGCTGAAATGGCTAAATCAGGCTCAGGAAACACTTTCATGTCGGTATTGGTTAGCTCTGGGAGGAAGAGACCTTGGGGAAAAAACAAAAATAAAACCTACATCCTCAGGGTCACCAATGGCCATGAGCCAGCACCCCCAAGGGAAGGAGCACAGGACCACACCCAGGGAGTACTCGCCCTGTTTGCACGCTGGGACCTTTTTGCAGGACAGTGTTTACGCCAGAACTGGGGACCTAGGCCAGATCAAGTTCCCAGAACTGACTGGCAGCTTTTCCAGGCTAAGCAAAATGAATGGACTCTGAAGGGCTGAGGGAGAGGTGGACGCGTCCTTGGGGTTGAGACTCCATCATGGTGGGTAGCCACATGGGTTGCAGCTGGATCCAGTTCTGGCCTGTGCCTGGAGCAGACATCAATAATCAATTGTGGCATTCCTGTCTCTTGAACTCAGGTGAGTGATTTCCTCTAGAGTGCTGCATTCTCCAAGGACCACCAAGCACTTTAAATACAGCTCCTCTGAATATACTTACAGATGTGCGGTAAGCATAACAGACACCTTGGAATTTGAAAAACAGGAAGAAGTATTTTTCAAAGAGAAAAAAATTGTTTTCATAACATAAAAGAATTTACCTTAAATTGTTATATCAATAACACGTAGAAATGACAACACTGG